TTTAAAAAAATACTTATGCACGTTATATTAGATTGGCAGTAGGCAAACATTATGATTTTTCAATAGTTTCCATGTAAATCCACCTCGTCACTTAAACAGGAAATGATGCCGTGACGTTTCAAAATTTTAATTAGTCACTAGAGTTCTATCAAAGGACATTAATCTTCAACATATACCATATAGTATCGTCAATCATTATTACTAGTTTTTTAAATTACATACTATGCTTTACATTATTTTTTCATACAAATCGAATAGGTATTTATGTTAGTTTTATAACACGATAATACAAATGATATATGTATAGGGAACTTATCCTTAAAGTTTAAAGACGCACATTCTTTATTTAGAAGTTAAGTATAGGTAATTATTTATGTATATTATATGTGGATATATAAATAATAAATAAAAAATAGGTATATACAATCTACTATAAAAAATATATCATAAAATAAATAATATTAATTTCTCAATAGAATAACATGCGTTTTACAGAATTTGTCATAATATCATCAGTATTTTCGTCACATCATACTTACATTACAATACTGGCAAGTTATTCAAGGTCAAAATAAAAACAAACGTAGACAACAGCAAATGGTGTGTACCAAATAGGTAATCTACCTATGTTATACAATGTATTGGAATATAAGAAGTATATAAATGGGAACCACTGCTTATTTTTATTTCAGCCATAATCACAAGTTTTACATTTTTTTCTTTTTTAGCTATGATTCATATTGTACACAATTAATTAAATATCTGATTATTTTTTTAAAATTATTGTAATACTCAGTAATTAGTTTATAAATAGTATAATGTACTTTTTTGAGTAAAATATATGCAACGAAATAAAGTTGTTTTTAATTTTGATGTTTAATTGTGTAGAAAATAAGATTTATCAATGATAAATAATAAGAGATAATAGCTATTATTAATTATTTATTATTCAAATTAATATATTTTGCAACTGATAATTAAATGTTTATTTTATTTTTGTGAATATTGAGAAATAATAATTTGTGTAAAAATCAATTTTATTGTTTTTAATCAACCTCACCAGTTAATAAAAACTTCCATTATTTAATTTTATTTGAAAATTTTGTTTGAAAACCAAGTTTAACTTTGTCCCAAATAAGAATTGTTTTACATCTTTTGCTAATAATCTTCATTTTATAATTTAATGGTGAATAAACATTGTTCATACCGTAACGAATGCATAAAGAATACAGTAGTTGACCTCTAATCTAATGCTCAATAATAATCATTGGCCGAAGGATACCTACACAAAAATAGAAAATACGTATAACATTTTCCCAATGTTTCACGATGAATATGAAAATCTACAATACAATAGATCAAATACAATAATCGGCAGTACGATAAAACATATCGATATATTGGTTTTTACTATGGATATTATATTTAAGACAATCCAAGTGTAAAAAGATCCCCTATTTATATTAGGAGATAATTCGTGCGCACCTCTGTTAAAAGATCTTAACGCGATGCATTGATAAAATTGGTATTAATAAAGAATTTTTATCACTGATTAAATTTAGTTTTATTCTATGATTTTTAAATAAAAATATAATTAATTTTATATTTTTTATAAACTATTAATATGTTGACCTAATGTAATATTTTATGATTGAGCCAAAATATGAATTAAGTCAAAAATTAAGCTAAATATTAATAATATAAAATAAACTACTTTCAAATATTGGTTATATGTGTATATATTAAGCTAAATTAAACGTTATTAATAAATTTAAGTTTTTTTTATCGATATATATGCTATAGGAGGATCTGTTGGGTTGTGTATTTAATCAATTAATAAAATTATGGTATACATTAAAGTACATGTTTTTTTTACAGACTATAACAGCCTAACAGTTATAAAACAAAGTACGTGTTAATTATTAAAATGTATTATACACTATGCTAGTAGTGTATATATTACACAACATAACGAAAATATTATATATTATTAAGATTAATTAAATTTAAAACAAATTGCTTTTTTTTTTTTTAAGTTGTTATTTTTTAATTGTTCGTTATTTTATCGGCAGCAAAAAACTCATTTGCGCACATCATATTCTTACACATTTTGTCATCATATTTTAGAAAATTAAGTTCCAACAAAAGTTATAAAACTAGTGTAACTGTCATAGAGTTGTAGATTAGAACTGAATGATCATACTAAAATATGATTGGGTGAATAATATTAAGTCTTAGAGAAATAAGGGTAAAGAGAATGTTATACGAGTTAACTTTTAATAATGAAAATGTTGAAAAGTTATTTATATGTGATTTATCTAATGTTCTGCACTCAATGTATCTGTGAATATTTTCATTTTTTTTTTTTTTTTATACTAATACTTAAGTGTAGGAACTTATACGATTAAATAATATATACCCTGAATTATCAACTATTATTATCGATTTTAATTATTGTAGCTGGAAATGTGTCTAAGCTATTTAAAAAAGGGTAACTATTGTTAGTAATTGTGTACGAATAATTATTTTGCAGTATTTATATTTAACAAAAAATATTCATAACTATAATTTTTTAGTGTTATCACTTCAATATTTGTAGTTTAAAATAAATACACATGCAATTATAAAACTAATTTTTCTATAACCTTGATTATAATTTATAATATGAAAACTGTCGTTTTAAAATTGACCATTATTATGATATTTATTTACTATAATGATTTCAACGGGAAATTATAATTTATTAATAGCTAATAAAAAGAGTAGGTTATAAAATAACACTGTAAAGATTTATATATTATATATTATAGTATAGAGAATCCAAAATCATTATATTATGTATTAAACCTTTAATTATGATATATCTGTCAGAAGTATTCATTGAAAAGTGCGATTTTAATTATTAAAATAAATAGAACATTACTTATAATTTATTATTTATGTCCAAATGGTCATATAAATATAACAATTATAATTTCAACACAACAAATTAACAAAAAGAGGTGAAAAGTATGTAACCACTATTACAACTATTAGTAAGTGTTAAGCGTACCTTATAATTGATTTAATTGAGTTAATCATTGTAATGTATGTGTTAAATTTTAATTTAATGATGACCATTGTATAAAACAAATGATTCTTAGCAAAGACGATTTATCAGACCTATTACAAAGTATATTTTATTATATATTTATATTTCTTTAGTAGTAATTTATTCAGCTATTACTAATAACTAATAAGGATTGTTATGTAGGTGGAATTCGTTTGAATTACATATTGCATTTATTATATTTAATTATTATGATAGTATAAATGTTTACGTATATTGTTTATTATTGCTATTAATTTATGAGTCAAAATCGCCTCACGGTAGAACGGTGTGATTAATGATTTATGATTATACTAGATTCGTAGTATAACATATAGGCAATAGTTTAAAATTATATTAATAATAATTTAAATGTTTTGAAAATACCATTGAGCATATAAAAATATATAAAAACATAAGTAAAAGTTTCAAAATATTTTTCAGTAAACTATGTACCAATTCAATAATGATTTTCTATTCAACATATTTAATATACGTTTTGAACGAAAATTATTTGAAACTAGCGGTTCACAATTTGAAAATAAAAACAAACTAACAAATTACTAAATTATTATACTTTAATAGTAATTTACGAATAACTAATAAGTCTTGACAACTCGTAGACACGAGTATATGTATTCGTTTTGAAAATTAAGAAAGTGTATTTTGAATGGGTATAACCTGCTCTAGGTAAATCTAATCTATTCATAAGGTGAGAAAATGATAAATGTTTCAGATGTGTAAATGAATAGTACGATTACTCAAATCTAACCACATTGTATTATTATAAATGTTGAATGGCTTATCGGGTCTTCGTTTATATACCGGCTTTGTCTGAAAATCGGCAATGGATAGAAATCGGTCGGATCAATTATTCCGAATCGTAAGCCTAGGTATAATAATAGTTTAAATGTTCGTCGTTGATCCAATGCGGTAATTTATCATTTCCCGCGGAGAAAACGCTTCGAAGGCCGTAAATCCAACAGATATACACAGCTTTACGATCGATACTACCTCTCAATTGGATAAAATAAATAATCGTTTGTATAGGCGCCTGCGAGTTATTTTTTTTCAGTGCACTGTACATAATATTAAAATAACGGTTGGGAGAATTATTATCGTTTAGCGAAATCCAAGCATCGACGGCGTGCTTGACTTTTATGAAAATCATGGGGAGGGATAAGAGGAATTTATATATTATTTATGTTATTTCTTATTAGTAACATATTGGCGTAAATCACTCACCGTTATGGCGATAAATAAACTGTCATTATTTTATCGTGATATATTTTATTGTTAAAAATCAACTTAACATTTTATGAAATATGAGTATTACACAGAATAAAAATATTAAGAACGTAATACTAACGCGTTTTTTGGCGTTGAGGTATTTTAAACGATCTTTGAAATTATGTTCAGCTTTATGATGAATACAATAATATGTTTTATTCCACTATTCATATGTCACGTTTGACGGTGGCGTGGGTTCGGCGGAAACGTATTTTCTGTTTTCGGTTCAATATCATTACACATTTACACACATACACACACATGCATATTGCAACATTATATATTGAATCGATTGTGTAATATCACAACAAGGAACTTGCTGCTCTGCGCTAGTATCCATGGCTACAACACGTGCACAACATCGCGATATTATTACACGTACTGAAACCGGTAGAAAAAAAAACCAGTTTCGTTGCCATAACGTGTAGTATTGTATTTACTTTTGATATTTTTATTTCTTTTTTTGTAGCGGATCGGCGGACGTAAAGGTCGTCGACAATCCTTCGCCAGTGGCTGTCACCGGCCAAGCTCATGGTCCCTCTCCCGCCGCAGCCAACCGAGTGCAATCGACCTGGCTGCACAGCATCCGTCGTCCGCGATCACTGCTGACGGTTCAGTCCATCTTCAGAATCGTCCGCATTCTTATAAGACGCCGCGCAATCGCAAATCGCACGCGTACAGAGTATTTATTTTATACTATATCATAACATATTATATTTGAACGTGTCATAAATAGGCAAAGGTCTGTTACATGCCATCGTTGTCATCACCGCGTCGCCTGCAAGTGTCCCGGGGCCACGGCGACAACAATAATAACGATATTATTATTAAAAAGTGTACGACCGACGAGATAATAGTGATTTTAAATAGGATTTACCACATCTGCACGACGACGGTGTTTGCTACCATTAGCTGAGTAGGTACCAATATAATATTAAAAATATCTGACGACCTATAATCGTCGTCGTTACTAGTGATGGACGAACATAAATTTGAAATGCGATGTCCACTTATGCTACATTAATCGCTCTCTAATAGAACGTTGACTCTGATAAATTATAACCATCGAAATCTTATTATTACTGATAGTGTTACGTGCATCGATACATCGTTTTTTATTTTATACCTACGCATCAATATCTTCAGACGGCAATAACGGAAAATAAAATCCGTTAAAACATCTTCTTCAAGGACGAATACTCGAAACCGTGGTTCTTTCAGTTTTTGATTCATCGCACTGTGAAAGGTAGGTATTTGACCTTTGACACATCATGTTTTCTGTTCTTATTATTATCACTACGGGCGTTTTAATGATAATATTTTGTTGGAAATATCTACTGTTACTTTCCTCTTACATCATATAATATGATATTAAATATTCGTAGTAGCATGCATACTAGGGCACGTATACATAAGTATGTTAATTATTATTTGACAGAAAATGGTTACGTACATAATGTTTTGTTTGAAGATGATAATAATAGTAATTACACGAAGAGCGCTAAAGCATTTAGGTAAAAACTTTTTATGAAAAGGTTCCATATAAACTACGTGTAACTTTGGTCTGTAGGTAAACACCGAGTTATTACGATGCGTATAATTATATCAATTTGGTTAAAAAAAAAAAAAATACCAACCGCGTGCTGATAAGATTTTTTTGAAGATATATTTTGATTTAATTATTTTTTTCTCTATTAAATATTCATGGTCACAACACAAGGTATCATTCTTTATATTGTAATCTTTGTTGAAAATAATTAAATTTTTCAGTTATAAGTATATGCTTTGTTCGTTTGTTGATTAGTAAATGAAAAATATTCAATTAAATAGTATATTTAAAGATTATATAATTTTAACTCAAATGCGCGTATTTTAAAAATGATTAAAAAATTTTACAATACATGTAAATCATACGTATATAATCTAACTTATTAAATGTATGTTACACGATTTCAAATGTTTTATGTTTAAACAATAACATAATTTGATTGAATGTAGCTTCAAGCAGCAACAATTTTCAACTAGGCCTTTAATATTTGTGTGGTAAAACACTAAACTGAAATCCATTCGTAATCGTTTTTTTTTTTTTTTTTGTATTTTAATTCAAAAATTCCACACTCGTTCGACCTCGTGACTACCTATCTCCAGTAATAGACAATAGTGTATTTTTATATTCAACTTGTTCATCAGTTTAGTATATTTTAAATACCTATTAATACTTAGAATACATAAGAATTTAAGACTGAATATCATTTACTGCATTTCATCAGTTTAGTTAAGTTTTTATCCATTATAGAAATATACTATTAAAAAATATCTCAAGAGTATTATTATTATAATGAGAAATTAATTATACATTATATCATTGTTCTATCTATACAAATTTCACGTATTTTTTGTACTGTGAAAATGGTAATTATATTTCAATAATTTAAATACTGTTTATTATTGTTAGACTTACTTAATTCTGTTCAATTTTTGTATCATGACCATTACTAAGAAAATGTTGTAATTGATGCAATTATTGTATTGTCATTAGTACCTATCTCTAAATAATTTATTAAGTGTTGTGTTATGTTTATTTAAGTTATAAAATGTATATATTTTTTGCACACATATAATTTTAATTTTATAAACGAAAAAAGGATGCGTCAAGCTCAATATAAAAATAAAAACAATATAAATAAATGGAGGGCATAGAACGAAAATATTAACCTTAGCATGTCATGTAAAACCTTATGACACCCAAATCTACTGTCTAAAATCCGAGGATAAAATATGTATACCTACATACTTAGTTGCTCAGATTTTTTTTAATATCGTGTCAGTTTATCTGATTTTTTTTTGTTAAAAAAAAGTGAATAATTTTTGTTGGTTGGTTGGTTTTTTCCCATACCACTCTTTCTTTAAAAAAGCATTGTGTAACCCTTAAAACCCTTTAAAATGTCACCACATAAATCTTCGCCATTTCGGTCGCTGCATTTTGCAACAGTCACGTTAGCTAACCGAACATTAAAAATTCTCTTTCATGTGCTGTCCGATGCAGCATACGACGTTTCATCATTTAACTACAGCGACTACGAGTATACACACTACACATAATAATATTATACAAATAACAGCTATTACGAAGTGTTGACGTATTACTTGTCTAAGTTTTTATTTGTCTTGTTGACCACCGCTGAGTATGATCAATTCATTGAAAAAATATTGTATTATTTTTCTATTATTTTAAGACAAGGCAGAATAATATACGTTTATTACGTCATTTTATCAATACTTTTGTCTATTTGTAAAATAAAACGACAATGCACTAAGCGAAATTATTAAAAACAAATGGTTATTATTTCTATGATCTTTAATCAATATAATAACTTTGATGGAAAATGTTTAGAACTGAGATTTCTTTATATTTATTTTACTTTAATTTAGAAAACAAAAACAATTGATATTTATTCAAAAAAGCATGTTTATCTTTTATTAATAACTATTTACTAATAACGTAATTAATTAATCCTAATAAATAATTATAAGAAATGATTTCCAGTTGGTTGATTTAATTTAACAACCAGGTATAGTGAAAATAATGAAAAAAAAAGAGACATTGATTTTCGGTTTTATAATTAGGCAGTAATAAATAACGATACATAATTATATTCTTGAATAATATAGTTATGGTCTAAAGAGTAGGTTTATGTACTATTTTATATTTTGTCAATTTCGATCAATTTTAATATAATTGGTAGGTTTCTTAAGCTTAATAATAATTAATTGTATGTGTATGTAAAAATAGATAAATTTATTTTTAGATCTATAAAATATTTATTACTATGTACCATTATTTTATAATATAAATATTTAGTCTTGGGAAAAGAATGTCAAAAAAAAATAATAATTTTAATTTGAAATGTAAAGAATTTATAATAGTATTATGCAATAAATTTATATTAAATTGTTTAAGTCGGATCTCAGATACATGATGAGTTATGTATAATATATAACTCGAACAATATGATATTGTTGATTGAGTATTTTTATCTATATGTTTACAATCGTATTACAATAATTCTGTACGAGTAAAACGCACATTTTAAATGTATTAATTTTTAATTTTAGGTATCAATTTAATTATTATAGATCGCTGATAATCAAAAATTGAATTGCATATAAAACAAATTAAATAATAAAAACGAGGTTTTTTTATATTATTTTTAATCTAACAGTATACATATTATATCATGTGTGTACTTAATAAATGAAGAAATTGTTAAATGGTTTGCAGCCATCTGAATTACATAAGTTATGAACATAAAATAAAATAGATTATTTATTGTACTTGCCTTTGTAAAAATAAAATTAAGTACCGCAAACAGTGCTACATTTTACGTATTAACAAGTTCACCTTGAGAAAATTTTAAAATTGTAAATATTTAAATGTTATTATTATCACTATTTAAACAGTAACAGAAGAAATGTTCCTTTGTGAAAACTAAAAGGTAAACTAAAGATATTCTAAATACCATAAAAAATATTTATTATAAAAGAAATGGAATAATTATAAAAAGTCCGGTTACTCATATCTAATTTGAATTAATTAAAAAAAAAAAATATTAATTTTTACATTATATTCTTTATTCTTGTGAGTTATATTAAATATATGTAGAATACGGTATGCAATAAATTATAAATTTATTGTATACAATTAATATAGTATTTTGAATTCAATAGAAAAATAACTAATACTCGATAATATTAAATAAGAAATTTAACAAAAAAAAAAAAAAAATTAACTTAATAAACAAATTCATAAAAAAACTAAATCTTTATTAAAATTCTTTGAATTCGAATTTATCTAGACTGGGTACCTTTTAAATTATTTATTATTATAGAACATTATTGAATTATACAATAATTTATAACCATAATACTCATTGAAAAAAAAAAAAAAATTGTACTTGAAAAATATTTTCTATTATTATTAATATTTTTAAAATTGTCTCTCAACTCGTACATTGGGCTGGGAAAATTTAAATATGATAACCGGTATTTATGTTAATACTGGTATCAAACGGTGTACCGGTACTTAGTACCTATTTATCAAATATTATTTACTATTCATGAAAAACACAATCAAAATACAGTTATGGCATAATATTTTTAATATTTATTTGTTTAGTTTATGAATTGTATTTCTTTTTATTATTAGTTTGAGTTTTATGATATATGTAATAATTTAATTAATTGAGTGATTCAATAATTTTGGCACATCGAAAATACCATCAGCCCTACTAATATAATGTAACATTAATCGGTCAAATACAATAGTTGATCCATTTTTATCTTTGAAGTAAGGCTATTAAATATTTCTATTGCTAGCTCTCTAGAAATCATACAAGCAATCATATGCTAATATAAAAGTTAATGCATCACCATAAGATTAACTAGAAAATATAATACCCGAATTCTTGAAGAATTTAAGTACATCATTAATCCTTCATTATACTTTTACTATAATATAATTAAATAATTTTCCATCGTCTACAATTTTCATTCCATAATAATACCTAATACTTTTATCATTGTATTATTTTGTTAACATTATTATCTACCACTCTTCGTGTATATTACTATAACTAGTATAACTTATATTATTTTAAAACTGAATAAATATAATACTTTAAGCTGATTTCTCAATAAAAAATAAATAAATAAAGTTCTAAGTAATATCGATGATAATTTTTTTTTATTCACGTCACTTTTATTATTTATATTTTATCACGATCCTGAAATTTACTTATATTAATTTATTTGGATTGTAAACACAAATTTAATGTGTACCTATTAATATTTACAAATCTCAGTAGTAGTATTTTCATTTATAAATAAAGTGTACGATATCATTATTAAATAAAAAAAAATACCTGACTATAAATATTTTCTTATTATTTGCTAAATTTTTACAACAAATCAGATTTATCAAATTGTTATTTGTTTACTAAAATAAATTAATATCAGACTAAAAGACCTACTTTAATTAACCAGTCTGACTTTTTATAATAAATAATTTTATGTTCCTGTGATATATAAATTGCATATAAATACTATAATTGGTTAATATTTTAATTAATAATTACTGTTATTAGATAATATTGGAATAAAATTTAAACCTAATAATTTGAGTTAATTTTTCGAAATTAGGAGCGTATGTATTGATAAAATGTATGTTAAGTATTGATATTATCATTAGTGTAATAATTGTAGTTACTTAGTCTTTTTATAAATATTTTGTTTATAATATTAATTAGTAATTGCAATGAATAAAACTATACTCACATAGTGTTAAATGGTGATGATAAAGATGAATGACTGTATAAAATAAGATTATTACGTTTCTTTAGTAAAAATATTATTAAACTAATAAAATAACATATTTCCTTGCAATAATTTATTATTATTGTTTTGTTTTTTTTATTTAAGTTTAATTTAGTATAAAAGTAAATATTAAATAGAAGTCATAAGGTGTAATAAATTTAATTTATATTGCATACATTTACTTGTAGTAAATTTTTAATGTGTAGGTATAATAATATAAGTTGTTTTATATTGTAATTAAATCAATTTTAAATTTATAAATATATTATTTATTACATAACTACAAATGTAAACTCAAAATAAAACTTTTAATTTTTTATTTAAAAAAAACTGGTATCTAACAATTAAGTTTTTCTTTATTACAAATTACAGTGACGTAATATCCTGACGCCATTGTTTAAGTTTTTTTAATTATTATAAATTATTTAGATCGTTTTAAATAATAATTTAAGAAAACAATTTATTGTAATTTATAATTTATTTTTAGAAAAAAAAAAAAAGAACGAGTGATGTTGAAAAAATGACACATTTTCTAATTAAATTAAATTATTAAAATAAATTATTTAATAATGATAAGTGTTCTTTATGCTTTTGACAAACTGAAAAGTTGTGACAATAGATATTTTCGAGTGTAATATTATATACTCACAATAGTTAAGAACTCGTACGTAAATTTTTTTTTTAATTACATTTCAGATTAATTTGAAAAATGGTACACATCAATGATATAATACTATCATAATTTATAAACACGTCTCGTTCATCGCCTATCCCTGAATTAATACTATATTGTTAGAAAATTAAACGGATTCGACGCACATTTGGATAACATTGAATTGAGTTCCACAAATTCTTTTGGGTTATCAGAGTTGAGTCCGGCTAATATTATTAGGTTATTTGAGTTGAATCCCTTTTTTTAGTTATAATAATAATAAGTATAAAGGGTCAATTAATTAAAAAATATTAAAAATAATAAGAACTAAAGATACTTTTTACTTAGAGAATAGTTTTTTATCGTCAGCTATGAAAATACAAAAGAAAAAATTGAAAATTTGTCATACCTATAAATATTTCAAAAAAAGTTAAAATTTTACTACAGAAGAGGTATTGAAAATAATAATTTAGAAATCTCAAGTACATACTTATATTGTTATATTATTATTTTTGGAAATTTAACAAAATATTAAAAATTGTTTGAGAAGAAATAATTATTTTATGGATGAATATCTGAACATCTAAACATACACTCCATTTTTCACTCGTAATAATTTAATAATTAAATAAGTATTAACCAATTGTGTGTCACCGGCTATATAGGTAGTTATGATTTTTTATCTATACGGACTCAATTCAAAGATGTTGAGATAATAAGCTAGACTCAATTCAAACACAAAAAAGTAGCATGGACTCAATTCAATATCACCGGTACATCAACGGATACATTTACACCGAAATTTTGCTGTTTGGCGACTTACCAAATACAGCGCGCAATGCCTTCATAGTCGTGCATGGTAAACTTAAAGCCACAGCGTCATCGTTTGCGTCGATTCTATAATGTCATTATGATATAATAGATTGGTCTGAAAAATGATTTAACTCTTCGATACCATGCCTAAATAATCGTTTTGTGAGGTCTCGTCATCGTTGCAATTAACGGTGTGGTTAATTATGTGGGTTTTATTTTACGATAGTACATACTACATACGTATGTAGGTACTTGTAATAATAATAATAATAATAATAATAATAATAATAATCATAATATGGTGTAACATAATGACAGCTTGTTTTACGAGGTCAACCGTATTAAAAATAATACAACTATAAACAAAGTATCAACATTTGGAATAGGCGATATATAGCTCATATCACGCGTGTCTGCCACCGTTCGAATACATTATATTATAGGTATAGTTCTCATAATATATTAAATAATATAATATATAGGAAGCGGCGGCGCTCGGTGTACGTATGTACTAGAACCTACCTCTACAAGTATGTGCATTTAAATTTTTTCGGTGACCTCTAAAATACATGTTAGGTATTCGACCAGTTCTCCTCCGCGGATATACCAGACAAACACGTTCAGACTCATCGTCATCGTCGTGGTCGTCGTCGTCATTCGTGGTTTTGACCACCCTCCGGAGTTCAGTTCGCGTTTTTGCAGTGTACATGTGATATGTATAACATTATAATATATAATTAAGTGTGAGTTCGAGTGCTCGCACGACGTTTGTCGCGAAAAAATTGTCAGTCTCGACAGTGTACGTCAATTAGTTTATAGAACAATAATAATCATTACAACAACGGCGATACTATTATAATCGCGTGTTATAACCGTTTCGATCGTGTATTGCAGGCCACACGGAAATCGAGAATATCAAAAAAACACAACCATCCGATCGTCATGGAGGACATTGCGTTGGGACCGTCGGTGACCCGACCACAGCCGCAGGACGAAGAGATGGCCATCATAATTAGAGACGCCGTGAAGGTATACGACAAGAACAACGTTGTGTTCAGGAGTTTGAACATGACCGTGCCAAAGGGTAAAATGTAAGTATTTTTGACGTTAAATCCAAATTAAGCCGCTAGATAGTGTACGAGTTATCGTTGTCATTTTTAACCTGACGCACAACACCTATGATAATATTAACAACTGATGCATTCGTTTATCTGAAATATTCAAATTTGCTTTCGCAAACTGTCTTCTACAAAAATAAAAAATAAAAACGAATTTAAAAGATTCACACATTTAAGAGTGTCCGTCATATATTTTAAGTCTACAAAGACCAAGTAATAACAGTTTATAATTTATTATTGTGTCACAATTTTCTTCTTTTTTTTTTTGTAATAAGCACGTACTACTAATATTGTTTAACAAATAAATCCCAAAATAGAACAGCATGAAATAAGTACGACACGTTTTCACGCATATTCCGTTCTAGTTAACAGCAGTAATATATAATATTAAGCTCATATATATATATATATTATTATCAAGGACCATATTATATTTATATGTACGTTTAAAGTTCGCGGGACAAATCATTTTTGAAACCTTTATTTTTATTCATCCAATGAAGATAATATGACAAGTATAAAATATTGAAAAAAAAAAGAAAAACAGATATTTTTGTTTATAAAAAATATTATAAATGTATAAACTAAGCATTACGGGTATAAAATAATATTAGACGAATTAATAAATAAAATATGTTAGCATCAACTTGATACTTAACATTTGGATAATTTATTTTTTTTAGTTTTTATCCTTCTTGGCGCTTAATGTCTATTTAAATATACAGTTTTTTTCTACTTATTGCGCCTATTATGATTATAATTTATGCGATTTTAGTCGCCAGATGTCCATTTCAATGGGCTTTCTTCTCCTATTCCTTTGTAGTCGGGTAATATTATTTTCCTAATTTAATACGATATGATGACATTATAAACTTTAAATATATTTTCTATAAACAAATATAAATAATTTAAACATTTTTTAATTATTTTATCGTGTTTGTTTTCTCGCATGACTACAGATAATTTTGACTTAAAAAATAAAACAAAATACCTTTTAAGTTTGAATTAACATAGAGCAAATACTATTTAAAGTGTTGTAAATGGAATAGGTATTATTAAAGTAGAAACACTTTAATGGGAATTAAGAATAGTTAAAATTACAAAATATAAAAATGAATCAGACATTAGAAGGATAATTAATAACTATCAGCTTTAATAAATTTTGATTGCGGGTCACATTGGAAGGGTTTATATACCTCTAGTTTACGACCACTGCAGCAGTATGCCTATAATACCTATAAAATAAATCTATGATATTGTTATTTACTGTAGATTGTCGTAAACATAAATCGATGTACCTATATGATGTTATTATAATGTATTATACAATCTCAACTATCTGCTTCTTGTGTTGCGTATAATAACTTTCCTAGGTTGCTATCATTATTATACCAGTGAATGTGGTCGAATTAACGGTGTATAGTTTTATACACCGACAACGAGTAGGAAGGTACTTATTTTATTAAGAATTTTTCCGATCAGCATATCATCAATTGTTTAGTAGAGCCGAGAGAACACCTTGGATATCTTTCACTTTTCCAATTATTTTCATTTCACCACAGACAATCTGATTAAATCTTTGTTTTTTTTTCCTACTGACATTTCGATTAAACTTGCATTTGAAAATATTTTTTGTTGTCAATTACGATATGTACATCGTAGACAATCGGTAAGATGGAGCTCCATAAGACTAGTCAAGATCAATATTTATTTTAAATTGAACTTTCTGTTATAAAACTTCAATGAAAATATATTTTGAATAATAATATTTTTTGTTTTTATAATATATTATAGATCTTTTTTCGATTAATATTTGTGTGTTCGGATATCCAAATATATAATACAAGTCTCGTAATAATCGTAATAATAATAAAACAAAAAAATAAATATGTTGTGATTTATGTGAATTAATTTAAACTATTAAAAAGTATATGATTTTGTATTTTTTTAAATTAATTATTTGAATTGTAGGTACACAATATTTTACATGAAATATTTACTTTAACTTAAAATTTACATGTAATAACTCATTTGTATTTTTTAATCAAAACAAAATATATTTATTTATTGACTTATTATAATAATACATTAGAATGAAATAATACAGAAAAAATATAATGATGCATCAAAAAATTTAGAAAGACATAGTTAAACATAAAATAATATAACATATTATTTAAAACATAATATTTCAAAACTAAAAAAAAGGTAATGAAGTGCAATAATATATTATTTAGTATTTAAAAATTCTCTTTAGACTATAAATCGTATAATATATTTAAATCTTGTTCTTTAAAACGCCTAAACTATTACAATAATAACCAAATATAACTAAGGTTAGAGTAATAAACGGTTTACTGGAAATATAATTTTTTCACTGAGCAGGTACACAGAATAAAGTGGGTATTCTTAATTAATCGATAGAACATAAAAATATTTTTGATTTAAAATTTTGGAAATATATCTTACTATTTTAATAATTCATACCTATTTTCTTGCTCATAAAAAAATAATAGACATGATATTATGTTAAGTTATGTAACAGTGGAGTAGTTTTTTTTATTTAACTTATATGTTAATATAAATAATTTCAAAAACTTGTTTTGTAAGGATTATAATTATTGATATAATCGCTATGAAATTGAAACAGAAGTGCCAAAACTAGATGCATATTCCTAAATAAATATAACTTAAGCTAAACGTAATGTTTTAATATAAAATGTAAAATTAAAATCTTCAGTTTTGGAAAAAGAAACATAGAGTACACGATGATTGTTGATCGAGTAAAACTAGTTACTATTGATCGAATGGAGTCTATTGATTCGATAGATCGAATTTTGCTATATTAGCAATATTTTTTGTAAGAATTCTCGAAAATTCCAGATTGAAATGGATAAAAAGAACCACCACTAATATTCCATTAATGCAATTATATTATGTGCAATTAATTAATTAGTATCGATTTATTAATGCATTATTCAGTTATTTACATAATATATATATATATATATATATCAAAGGAAATAACTAGGATAACTTATCATATGAAGTCGGCGACGTTAACGCAAAATTTAATAACAATAAATGCCTATGCGATTATTCATGTTTACATAAAATATATTAATATTTCAAGTCCGTATATTTTGATCAGCTGTCTGGTTGTCGGTGTGTGTGTATTTCTTGAACACGAAATATTGCCAGCGCTGGTCAATGTAGTCGAGCATGGTTCATTTGGCGGGAAACACGTGCGCGCCTTCTTAATAGTTTTATACAGAAATAGAATAATTATCTAATTAAAAGAAAAAAAAACTACAATTTAAAACACATATTTGTAAAATCGACTTTTTCACGATTTTTAAAATAAATATAATATGTTTTAATATTTATACTCATCATTATGTGTGTATTAAATATATGTTTGGTGTTTGCAGAGAATGAACAATAATATTATTACAATTATCTATTATAAAATAATTACAGTGTTTCACACGTAAAATATGTAAATTAAAAAATTAAAATAACTTGAAAATAAAATTGAATAATTAATCTGTAGGCAATAATTTAGAATACCTCTCTCATAAAAATAATAACAGATATATCAAATTAAAATCTTGACACTTAAGTAGGTACCTATCTAGATAATTGATCTTGGATAATCATTTTATTTAAATGTATAGATAAAAAAATACTTTAAATTATTGCTATTTAGATAAAGTTTTGTAATCTAGACTATGTCATTACACTACTATTAAACGAGTTTATCGGAGTACATGATAAAATTGCATTTAAAAATACAACGTTTTATCAAACACGTTATTTTTAATATTCATTTCGCCCTTTACTGAAATAATTATTGAATTCTGATTTTTGAAATCTATAAGTACAGTTTAATACCAATTATTCAAATATTTGGTTATTTTTTTTTGACGTTTAAAAAATATAACTGTGATATTTATAACAATAAAATTATCCTTGTTTCTTACAATTTAATTACCTACTCAAAAACTAACTGTACAGAAAACCTACATATAAAATAAATATAGTATTATTACATGATTACGGTATTCCTTAAATTTTATGAAAAGTATAGAGTTAAAGTTTACTTGAAAATTCCAAAGTCACAATTTTAATAAAAGCACAATTAAAAAAAAAAAACATGAAATGAGAGTACAGGGCGTACTAGGTAAATTTTATCATATACCTATGCTATACTTATCATAACCATAATATATGTGTGTGAACAATCGTTTCAAGCGTGGATGAAAGTATTTTATTTTTGACGACACTCGTTAATTAAAAATCACACATTTAAGACTACATCACGGTAACTATAAGTTATTAAGTCCATACCACATATTATGTTTCATATGAATAGTTTTGAATATATTATGCTATCCATCACAGACATATCGATTATTCTATTTTGTTGTATAATTTTATTCGTATCAACACGGTACAAAATAATAATTAGTAGTAACACAAATGCCATTAAGAACGTGGGAAAAAGTAATGAAAATTGTATTCTGTTATACTTATTATTATTTATTATTTATTATATAGTACCTAAATATAGGTTAGGGACGATCGTGTATAAGTTGAACAGAAAGTATTTGGAAAAGTTAACGAACGTCAAATGGAGTTAGTTTTCGATGACTGGATGGCTGGCGGGTATATACCAATTTTCCGTGTCTCCATAAAGTAATCTTCACGCGCAGCGGAGCAAAGTGAATTTCCTCGAATGTAGAATGTAGAAACATCATTCGATTTTTCTACATTATAATATTATAAACTTGTATAATAATTACATTTTGTCCTTAATAATCGCATCCTCTAAAAACCAATTTTCTTCCGGTTAATGGATATTTTATACATTAAATAAGTATACATTAAATTTTAAAACTTTTTTATTTATTCTGTATAACTTGGACATCAATCTCTCTCTATTATATACATATTATAAAACTAAGTGATTTGTAAAATAAATTCTTTTTTTAACCCATTTTAATAATTTTTTTTTTTAATTTTAACTAATTTTATTATAATACTAATTTTTTCCCAAAAATCAATTCAATCAATATTTTTTTATTAATTTTTTTATTTTATTTATTAATTAATAATTGAAATAGGTATATATAAAAAAAAGAAAAATAATTTTTCAAATACGTTGTCAAGATTAAAAATATGAAAATTAATACTATGCTACAAGTTTAAAATACAATTAAGTAGGTGTAATAAAATGACTATTTATTTAATAATTATTAATTTTCTATAAAAATAAAAATAAATAGCTTAGAAATTTACTTTGAAAAAATGGAAAGTAAATATGATATTATATTCTTTTTAAAACTATAATTGTCTAAAGAAAATAATCTTGTCTTTGCCATACGTATATTAAAAATGCTTAGTTATTGAGATATTTAATTTAGTCAATGATAAAATATAACCAATTGTCAATATGCATTATATATATTATTATTATGTGTACCAAAATAATTTATAACCTATGTTGGATGTTTGATTTAGAAATGTAAACAACAATTAAAAAAATTGAATTAATTAAATTTTTGGTGAAATTTAAACTAAAATATTGATAACAAATATATATATATATATAGTGTACTTTTAATTCCAAAATTATATTATATTTATATTCAAGATATAAAAATCTAAAAAAAAATAAAAAAGAGTTTATAAGACTTTCAAAATATAATGATTTTTTTTTTTTTTTCATGACATGCAATAGTCTTGCATTATAATATTGAGAGTTTAATATTTATATATTATATAAATATTAAACTCTCAAGTATCAAATATATAATATAATATTTATTATTTTTAGTTTAATGTATAATATATTTAATACCGTAACTGAGTAAAGTAAATAGACTATTTTTTTTTTTTTTTTTTTTTACTTAAAATGACAAGCAGGCGTCGCCCGATTGCGGTTCAAAGAAACCTTTTTTATCTTTTCACCTATTTTGATTGCGTCCGATAAGTTTGTTAGTATAAAGTATAATTGATGGAAGTTTACGAATTATTAAGTGAAAAAAATAAATAAACATTAGTAATATTTAAATATAAATTTCGATTTTTAAAGTTATTAGCAAATAAAATAGAAAAATAATATTGTATGATATTAAATATTCATAATAACGAATAATTGTTTTGAATTTTTTTAAGTATTTACACAAAGTATTTGAATTTAAAATACAAATACATCCAATACAGTATTTAAAATATTTACTTTATTTAATAATTATATTAATTTTTGAACCAATTTGTGTTTGGACGCAATCGTGATACTTATATTTGGGATAAAACACAACTACCTGAATTCAAGCCAAAATCGGGCATATTTGTGATAAGCATTTTCACGTAACCGTCAGGATATTACTAAATCAATTCCGGATTTGTTAATTTCCTGTTATTAAAAAAATTTTACAAGAACATATGAATATGTAGATTTATAACTTAGCTTATTCCTTATAGCTATGAACAGTTTTAATTTATTTTATTAAATATTAAATTGTAGTATTGAAGTAAACACATAATACAATTTTGAAGTAAATACATATTATATCAAGTTAAAATTACAATATCCATGACGTTAATATAATATTAGGTATCAGAATCTCAGGCATTAGAATATTATGAATAACATATCTTTTAGAGAAATTTGTATTTAATTACTGCTTTGACACGAACACGTTTAAAAATCAAGATAATTTAATTTTTAATTTTTTTTGAAAAATCTACTGAATGTTTTGAATTAATGTTAACATTTTTAAGATAAGGTATAGAGTATATCATAACTCAAGAAAATACTTCTTATAATCTTAAAATCGAGTAAAACGTTATAATCACGTTGTTTACAGCTAATTGTATATTAAAGCTAGTAGGACTAGTGTCAAAAATTTGAAAACTTTGAAAATTTAGTGTGAATTAACTTCACAACAATTAATAATAATAACAAATATAGATATTAAAACTTGTTTAAAAAAATATATTTAATAACCGGTTAAAAAACATATAACCAAGGACATTTATTAAGTGCACTATGACTTTTTTTATATTTTTAAATTAAATTAAATTTAAAATTGAAACTGCTCTATTTTATTGTAAATTATTTAAGTATTGGTTGCCTTAAACATGTTTATGTATATAAATATTACTCAGCCTAATCAATTTATAAATTACTTGTAAAAAATGTCCTAGTATAATAATCAAACAAAATATTACATACTATATCTTATATTTTATGATATATAACTATTAAGGATATTAATCCTTGACAAATAAAATTTAATATAAAAACTTAATTAAAAAATAAATGATAAAATGAAACAGACTGCTCACCATATTAATTTCCGACTAGTTACAGTTTAGTACTTAACACATTGTATACAGTTGTAGAAAATTACATATTAATTAATGTAGTAGATAAATATTATCGATATTTATATTCTAAGTAACTTAAAAGATATAAAAGTTCATCATATAAACGTATTAATAAATCAATAAATAATTTAGAATATGAATGGTAACTGATACTCTTCAGATTCTGATTTATGTACATTATTATTATTTTTTTTTTTTTAAAGATCATTTATTTAACAACATTAACAGCAAAAAATGGTAGCTCTTGTTTGAAAAAAGGATTTTTATATTTCCGTAGATAATCCCTTAAATGGTCAGAAACAAAATATATATATATATAAGTATTTGAAAATATTTCAAAAATTAGAATTTGAACCAATCTATTATTAAAGGATAAAAAAGAGGCATATTGGTGAATCGCATTGTATAAATATTAACTTGGGATGTTATTATATACAAGGGCATACTACTCTTTCCCCTGTCAATAGAATACACTTTTCCTACTCAGAAGTGGACTCTCTGTCGGTTAAGCGATCTAACCAATCTTGTCACTTAGAGTATTAGAATTCTATACACGGACGAACACGAATATTTGAAAAAACCCATTTAATATATCCAAGGAATATATGTGAAAATCCTAGCAAAATACATTTTCAAATAGAAATATAACCAACTAACCGTTCTTTATCTAAAGTTTACTCTAGAAATGGAACTTAAAATTCCATACAAATTCAAATTATGTAACATTATGAAATGAAATCTAATTAACATACATAATATATTATACTTTATCTAGAAACATGTCATAAATAAATAAGTAGTACATTATACAATCAGTATTTTTTTGGTTGGATTAAATCTCAATAACAGACCTTAACATATAAATTTTCATAATGATTGCGTATAATGATATAATTATATTAAACATTATAATACAATATAATTCATAATATCATATTGTTATTTTTAATTTATAATAAAATTGATAAATTTTAAGTTACTAAAATATCTAATTTTTCACTAAAAAAAAAAAAAAAAAAAAATTCAACAAGAAACGCAATGGTTTTGGCGAATGTTTTAATATTTATAATTTTTAAATATTATAGTATCCGTGAAGTACAAAACAGTGAAATATGTTTATAAATGTACATTAAAATTATCAAAATAAGTGTGTATTAAAAAAAACAAAAAATACTCATATACGGTTTCTAATTATACTGAGAGTATTATTAAAAATGTTATAAAAAACTGGAACTAATGTAGTCATATTTTTTTATAATAACATATTGTTAAGTAAGTAGGAAGTTTAAATTTAGGTGTAAAGTATATGTTATCAACAAGATTAAAGATAATTACATTTCATTATAAATTTACCTATAATAAAATATCACTTATACCTACTATATTTATTGATATTTGAATTTTAAATATACTCATGTGTCACATAATATACAAATGTATAATTATGTAGTTAATAAAAGTATGTTTAATAAACCATTTTTCACGAAGTTTTGTTATCAAAATTAGGGCACGTGTATGCTTTTCGTAATATTGTTGTTGTTTTTTTAAAACACTTTTATCTAATAAATATTAAATTATAATATCCAAGGGTTAAACTAAAACTGAAATAAAATCAAAATTGTTTACGATTTTTACTCTGCTTAAATAAAGAATATAACGCGTATAATAGTTTTGATAATTTTTAATGTTCATAAAGATCAATTTACCCAAAATAAATAATATCATGGTTAGGATGAATATATAAACGTATTATTTTATTGTTAAAATAGTACTTAGGTATGAATTTGTGTTAATTATTTTTTGTCATTTCTACTTTTCATATTAATATGACAGTTATTGTTATAAATAATATATTTTGCATTTTTACGTTATTTTCAGTTATGGACTTTTAGGACCTAGTGGATGTGGTAAAACAACGCTTTTGAGCTGTATAGTCGGTAGAAGCGAACTGGACTCTGGTGAAATAATGGTTAAAGCGCTTAAAAGAGAAGATATAGGATATATGCCACAAGTAAGAAATTCAGTACATTATTTTTTTTGAAATCATACCCAACGGGTGATAAAAAAAATAAGAAAATAGATATATCATGAGGACCGTATAATATGGCTATTGTTAAAGCGGATATTGTTGGATACCCATAAATGTCTAACGGGTCAGTTTTATGTTTGTCATTGAAAATTCAAGTGCAACATTAGGGATCAAAAACCCACAGAATAATTGTTGTTTCCAATTGATATATTTGGTATGAATAAATGTTCTAGATAGTAGACACAATCATAATACCGATTTAATTAAGATTATAATTTTTTCCATATTTAATTAATTTATTTTAAAATCTACATTATATGTATAATAAAATATTTTTTTTCTCAAGCTGATCTTATTCACTTAAATTTAATAGTGTTTTTCTAAGGAGAAATATTTAAGGAGAATAATTATAGTTATAAATGTGAATATTACTTAATATAATTACGTCAATTTATAAAAAATCAGGTTAGGTGAAAATTAATGCCTATGGATTCCTACGATTCCGGAGCAATAATTGTGCTTAAGTTAAGTTAATATTGTTAAGTAATTTCGATCTGCTTTTCTCAGTATATGTATGTATAATAAGACGTGCACAACTGAATCATGTCCATATATTCTAATAGATATTCAATCTTAGTTCATTTAACAAAATAAATATAAACGACTTCGATAAATGTATGCAGGTTTTATATATTGTGTCTAAATGTTTGTATCAAAATAATACATTGACGTTAAATTATTTGCATGTACCTACCACAATAAAAAAGATAACAGCTATTGCATTTATTTCTATGAGAAAATCCGTAATACATATATATTTTATACGTTAAACCTATTAATCTCATGAACATTTTTGTTATTTAGGATTTAAATTTACACGAACATTTAACAATATCACAAACTTTTAAGTTCTATGGTGGTATGCTTAACATGGATAAAGAAGAAGTCGCAAAAAGAAACAAAGAATTATCGTTATTATTGGAGCTCCCATCTGATAATAGACTAATTGAAACACTTAGGTAAATATTTTCACAGTCTATAATACAATACAGTTTATAATAAGTACTATATGTAAATTAATATAAACATTTTAACTCAAAAACTAGTTTTTTTTTTTTTTTAAACAACGACAAATCACAACGCATTGGATGACTAAATATAAATATTTAAAAAAAAAGGTATCATTCAAAATTATTTTTAAGTACTTTCAGAAATACAGTTATGTCGTGTAATTAAAAGTATTCATATATTTATTTTCCGTCATTGATTTCCCGAAATCTAATACAATTTTAGAAACATTTTATTTTTTCAAAAAATATAATTGTCTAATTTTAATATTAATTATTTATGAAAAAATAATATAATAATTATTACACACTATAATTTCTTAACATGTTTCATTTACTCTGATGTTGGTATATATTTGTATTTTATTTATATGTAATATATAATATAATATATTGTGAGTATGTAGTTATGTAATTGAGTACCTCAAAGTTAACTGTATAGTAACATTGTTAAAGTCATACTATATTATCTTCCCACTTTGATTAACTCTTATTACTAGTAACTAGTATAAATAATAAAACTTGCTACTAGTAAATATTATAATTATTTTGATAGTTCAACAATAAATAAATATAAATTGCAAAATTACATTACATTATACTGTGTGTAATTGTGATTGTAGCAATTAATACGGAAAGATAATATTTGGAAATTTTATTTGTGTAGATGATATTTAACACAAATAGTTCAAATAGACTAAGGAGAAATTATGCATATAGCAATAAATACATATAGGATAGAAAATAAAAAAAAGAACAATTTATTGACAAATTATTAAATTTAAATTTGAAATTAATTATAATAAAATATTACAAATATATTTGAAAAAAAATGTTGGTATTTAGTGATTACTTAATGTGATATCTTTTTGAGTTGAATATGAGCATAAAAGTTATTTCCATATTTATATTATTCTGTTTTTATTATTTATATTTTTATAACTTAATTATACGACAAATGATTTTAAACGATTACTATTGTATTTGTTTTAAATATATAAGCTTTAATAATTGATTGAAATTATAAATTGTATTTCAATAAAATTTAAAATTGTATGTATAAAAATGAATTTATTCTCAGATAAAAACCTAAAAACTTATTAATGTTAAATTTATGATTTTCAATGATTTATTTTCCAATATTTTTTTTTTTTACTGTAATATTTTTTTATTTAAAATTACTATCATTAAATATTTTTTTTGGTCAAAACAAGTGTATAATTATAATACATTAATTCTAATATAATATTTTTTATAAGCTCTTGTTACTTTCTAGTAAAATAACTTGTCACAAATTTAATTTTAAATAATGTGACTTGATACTTGGGAAGAATTCAACATGAAACATATGAGTATACTTATTTTTAAGTTAAATAATTCATAAATTATAACTTATAACGATTTATTATAACAAATACCGAGTCCAAATTTTTATGATAGAAGTTTTAATGGAATACTGTATAATTGAATAAATTATTGCATTCGAAAATTTTCAAATCAATATAAATAATAATACAATAAATTCTAATTGTTTTTGATTTTTTTTTTTTTTAAGCGGTGGACAACAAAGAAGAGTATCATTAGGAGTTGCTCTTTTGCATAATCCAAATATTTTAATATTAGATGAACCTACTGTCGGATTAGATCCAGTTTTAAGTCATAGGTATAATGTTTAATTAATGTTTTAGATAATTTATAAATAAATCTCAACGTAAAATTTATAGTATTTGGAACCATTTGGTGTCTTTTGCTGAGGAAGGAAAAACGATAATCATCACAACACATTATATTGAAGAAGCAAGACAAGCTCATACAGTGAGTCAATACAATAATTTAGTATATTAGTTATTCAATAAAAATAATAATTTAATACATTTTTGTTAATATTAGATCGGAATGATGAGAGGAGGCATTTTATTAGCTGAAGATTCACCAGAAATTTTAATGACACGATGTAATACATCTACTTTAGAAGAAGCCTTCTTGTCACTAAGTTATAAACAAGAAACATCTTCCAGTTCTCAGGTAATTTTAATTGTATATATGTTACGGCTTGAGTCCGAAATATGGCTAAAGTGCACATTATCCGGATATTGTGCACTCTAGCCATACTGGTTGGATAAAGTAAACACTTAACATTTAAAATCATAGTTTTGTACAAATTACCCGGCTAAAGTAACTTTAGTCATCGTGTTATGGCTAATGTAATTATATTTTATTTCAATAAAATTAATTAATATATGTTAATAATTACATATTAATAAACTACACGATATTCCTATATTAATCTAGTATTTTGAACATTAGCCATTGATTGATGGTAAAAAATATGTCATTGTTAGATGGTCAGTGTTATCAACGTTGTGTGTGTAAATCAAATTGCAAAACAAATAAATGCAAATGCAAAGCATCAGGAATTGTATGCAATTCAAAATGTCATCAAAGTTTACTGTGTCCAAATAAATATTAATATAAAAAATGTTATCTAATAAATAGTGTTAATAATATCTAATAAAAATAAATTTAATATTGCATCAAATTTAGTTTATCAATATTTAATTTTTAACTTATATGTTATAACACGATGGCTAAAGTTATTTTAGTCGGGTAATTTGTACAAAACTATGATTTTAAATGTTAAGTGTTTATTTATCCTACCAGTATGGCTAGAGAGCACAATATCCGGATAATGCGCACTTTAGCCATATTTCGGACTCTAGCCGTAACATATACAAGTTGAGGTGAATGTCACATTCAGCAAAAAGCTGGTGTACGTTAGCATGCATTTCGTACAACCCTGCCAACCGGTCAATGTCGACATCCACTATCAGTATTTGGTGAATATTGACGTGACTATAAATGAAAATTACGAGTATTCAATAATATTTTTTACATTTATAAGTATAATTTTAAATATTAGCATATAATTCAATGTTATTTGTTACAATACGACAAATTGTCGTGGTATTTTTAGCTGTTAAGTAATCCGGCACTTTTGCTACTATGAATTTTTCATGTATATTTAATTTTGCGGTTATACCTCAAGAAACCTTGTCTAACACTGATTCTATTTCTTTTATAATTCGTCGACCTTGTATGTCCATTCTCTGTGGTCTAATTTGATTCGAGTATCGCGTAAAATGTCAACACCTCATAATTTTTCACATAATGAATAGTTTTAGATTCATTTTCCTCCAATAGAACTATGCGTTTGTTGAAATATATTATTTTTGTTGCGCAATACCGTTTCAATAAAGTATGTAAAGCTCTCTGTTTGGTTTCTTTGCCTTTTAACTTAAACTTTTCACTCACATATTTATCGTTTTTTTCTTTATTTAAAAAACAAAAAATGTTTTCTTGTTTTCCATTTATTATAAAATACTTATTTTATATTTTCGATTTAAATGGTATTTTTACGAAATTAACGATATAATGCCGTACAGACATTGAATGAGTAGTATATGTCGACAAAAAATGTCTGTTTCATAAAATGAAAACAATTAAAACATAATCTATAGATTTTGATTGTTAAAATTCACTAAGACATGTAAGTATATTGTTATTTTTTGAAACAATATAAATATTTACCGAAAATACCAGCGTATGTCAACATTCATTAATTGTATTCATTTTCCTCAACATACACATTACTAACTATATAATAAATAGGATATAACCAATATACATTTTAGTTTTTGGCTTTCAGGTTGATGATTCATACAAAAAGTTATCTTCCAAAAAATCTAACACAAAATTAAAATTAAATGACGGATTTTTCCGATTAAACCGAATGAATTGTCTCTTGTACAAAAATGTATCATTGCTTTGGCATCAAAAGTCGTAAGTAAAAACTCAATAAATCAAAAAAAATAAATATTTTTTTATTAAAAATAGATATTAAAACATTGTATACATAATCAAATACATTTACGTAATAATTTTAGTATATATTAAATATTACATTATACAATGATAGTGTTTTTGAATATATTAAAAAATATATTAGACGTAAGACATAGGTAGTATTTATTATGCAAAATATGAGAAATAATTGTAAACGATTATAATAGTTTAATAAAAAATATAACATGAAAGCCTGAATTTATTAAATGTTTATTATTTAAAAATACGTATAAACATGCATATATTTTAATTTTAGGTTTTTAGTTTTTCTGTTTCTACTGCCTCTAGTGCAAACTTATTTTTTTAACCTTGCAATTGGTCATGATCCGAAAGGGCTGTATATTGCAGTTGTAAATGAAGAAATACAACAAAGACAACCAGGGGAATGTAAACCCGAATACTATAAAGGATGTTTCCTTGATAATCCTCAAGATGTAATAATGAGTTGTGCATATGTCGAACAAATGAAAACTAAATCAATGAATATTGTAAGTATATCAAATTAACATAGTAAAAATTTGATAAATTGTTCATTTTAACTAGATTTATTTTTTAATTAAAATGCATAATTATTATTCTATTAATATTAAAAACTGCAATATTTATAGTTTTAATGTATATTACACATATTATAAAATTGTATGGATTAAGAATTAAGTAGGTACAATAATTACAATAATTACATAGGTACTTAATATCATAATCCTAAATATTTTTATTACGTATACAAATTTGAATGACCGTGGTGTATGTGTTAAATGTATAATATTAATTAATTAACTAAAAATATTCTTATACATAACAAGGTATATATTAAATTCCATTAATTTGTGCTATAAATAATAAACACAATGGAATAATTCTAAAATATTTACAACTGATATTGTGGTTTTTTTTTCTATTTCTTTTAAATCATATTTGATTAACAATGTTAAGCTATGTGTGGTCTCAATGGAATTCATGTAAGAAACCACTATTTTTTTCCAATATCTATAACTTTATTCTGAAATTTACAATATTAGATTTGTTTTTTTTATGAGTATAACATAACATTTGAATTGTTGATTTTTGATTTTCAAAATCATAAAAAAACAATTCAATATCTATAAAAAAAAATCAATATGTCGAGTATGTATAGGTGCCTACTCAATACTTGCTCAATAATAATATAGTGTAAATATTATATATATATTTTTATTTTCATTTAATAATATTGTAATTTTCTGGTTCTAAAATCGAAAGAGCTATATTAAAAATTTAATTATCAATCTATAGAAAATAAAATAATTAGGTATGCACTTTTATTCAGTTCTATATATTTATTACTATTAATATATTTCTCGGAAATATTTTTTTTTCATTACTGTAAATTTAATTGTATTTGAGTATAAATGTATGATGTAATCAAAACATAAGAAAGTAATTTTTTTGTATGCAATTTAATATTTATTTTTTCTTTGCAGTTACATTACAACGATGTCGATACCGCTCTAAAAGCTGTAAAGAAAAATGATGCTTGGGGTTTATTATATTTCCCTACTAATTATACAACATCTATGGCTGTACGTTTCATAAACGCCTCTAGGACTTCAGACTTAAATGTAGAACTAAGTACAGTACAGGCTTGGATAGACTTGTCTGGTAAGTGATTGAAAGTTTCCATGTTAAAAGCAAATTACAAAAAATAAAGTTTAAAATACACAAAACTTAAATTAGAAATTGGGAGTAACTATATTTAAGTTACAAGCAAATACTTTTAAAATTAAAAATATTTAACACTAATAGGTATTCAAAAATAATAAATCAACATTAATAAATATTTTAAAAAAGTACAATTATATTTTTTAAATGTATATTATAATAAAATTCAACTAAAATACTCTAAAAATATTAATACTAAGTCAATATCAATTCAAATATTGGAAAAATTTTTAACGTTTATTTATGTGTTTTTTTTTTATTTGTAGATCAATACATCGGAAATATGGTAAAAGCAAACGTTATTTTTGGTATGCAAGAGTACTTGGGTATAGCGCTGAATAAATGTAATATCAGTTCTAAAATTGGAAACACTCCTATATCGGTTTGTATATACCAATATTCAGGAAAAAATAAAAATTCAATTATCAATGTACTTTTATTATTATAGTTTAGAGAACCAGTATATGGGTCGGTAAATACAACGTTCATTCACTATGCTTCGGCAGCCATTCTGTGTCTGTAAGTATATTAATATTATTATGAAATAATAATACTTAAATAACATACAAAATTTAAACTTGAAAATTTTAGTTTTGTTTTAAGATAACAAATAAAAACAAAAGGATATGATTTTTGTACCTACTTTAATTGTCTTATTTTTGATAATGCGATTTTAATCAAATTAAATATTATCGTTCAGTCTTGAAAACATCGGAATAAAGGAAAATTTCCAAAGAGTCTGATATTAAAATCTGTTAATACGAAAGTTCAGAACAACTTAAATAGATTATGAGAATGTATAAAAGAATGAGAAGGTTGGAATTCTTCTGCTTAAAATCTTACAGCGTAAGGTACATACGCGTTTTGATAATTGTATTTATCAGATAAACATTTTATAAATTTTGTTGATATAATATTTTTTTTTATTAAACTAAAAATAATAGTTATACATACTTCCAATGTCTCAGATTATGCTACATAATGACGTTTTCGTGCTAAACAGAATATTACTTAATACGTTTATTGTTAATTTAAATAGTAAGAGTATACCTAACTACTTTAATAAAAACTAAATTTCTTGTTTTTAATTTAATTCATATACTATGAATATTATTATATATTGTATAATTATGTACATTTTTCCATAATAAAATAGTTAACTATTCATAAATCTTATTTTGTTTATACTTATTAATAATATCAATTTGTATGATTATAATGAAACAATATATTTACACTATAAATAAAATATATTATATAGAGTTATATTATTTTTAAAATGCATGTTAATTAAAGCTTTAGGAAAAATTAGATTCTTTTCTGTGGGAACTTATTAGTATTTTAAAATAGTTAATTAGAAATAGAATTTTTTTAGTTATTGGTTTAAATTTAAAATTTTAAAATGTAAGTCATTTGTAGTTTAATATCTGATAGTAACACCTACACTATTGACATTTCTTCATTCTGTAAGTGTATATAAAAGCTGTGTATTTGTCAAAAAACAACAGTAAATGAGTCAAAAATACACATTATTTTTTTATGTAGATTACTGTAAATATTCGAATACATCGACTTTGATTTTTGATCGTTTGTCTTGCGTTGTTAACTTTCAGTGTACTACAGTATAAATGGTCTTGCATTACTTTTATTTATATAAACAGTATTGTTGCTCTTATCGGTTCATGCCACTTCTTATTTATTCTATAAACTTTAAATCGCAAAACTAAATTGAGTAAAACTGACATTCATATATTGTTTTTGGTAAGTCATTAGTGATTAGTGTATAAGGTAAATGCAAATAGGTGACTGTATACTCTGTCTTCTGTTGGAAAATTGATCAAAAGTCATTTTTTAGTGGTAAAGAGAAAGTGAGAGAAGAAATTATAGAGTGAATGGAGTAAGAATGTAAGATTGAGTAATCAGAAAGAAAAGGGTAATAATACAGCAACGAGTTCGCGAGTAGAGGAAATACGTTGACGGAAAATATCCTATTAAACGTTATATTCATAATATAATATATAAGCGTATAGGGCTTGTGACTTAGATGCCTTCAAAATAATAATATCGTTTCTCTTGCAATCGTGTTTCGTATCCATGTAATGGGGTGTTCTGGTGAGGAGAGATTGGGTGCATTATTGTCATTCTGAAATGGTATAATGACGATTTTGTATGTATATGGTGATGAGATAAAGTGTCATATGTATTGTAATACAAATTATTAAACTTCAGATATGATTTGTTTCGACAGGTGTTGTTACTATTTGCCGGTACTGTTGACAGCTGGTTTGATTTTAACAGAGAAAAAAGAAGGCATAATGGAAAGGATGATGGTTTCTGGTGAGTACATCTTTATTATACATATATTTTTAAATTACAAATTCAATATGCGAATGTTATATTTTTTACCCGTATATTTCCCCACGGGGCTAGTGTGGTTACGCATGTCGATATTGGGAAACATCCAATTATAATCCCAAATCGTAAACATGCTCTTTTGCAGGTTAACAATATAAAACAATATACATAATAAATAGCGGAATCGGGCCAACCATATAAAAATCTGGAACGAAAATCAAATAAACTATATGTATAATTACTGTCCATTCATCACACCTTAGGGCTTAGATAATGATTGTCAAACCATAAAAATAAAATTGATCATGTTTATTGCAGGTATTAAATTTTCCGAAGTTTTACTATCTACAGTCATAATGCAGATGATAATACACGCTATGCAAGTGGTTATATCTATGTATGTGATGTACATATACTTTGACAATCCTTATTTAGGAGATCATTTTCCTACGGTCCTTATACTTTTACTCCTAGGAATGGAAGGAATGATTTTCGGTAAGTCGACAAATTAAAATTACCAAAAGCTATAAACAGTTGTAAATAAAATACACATATTAAAATGTACTGTGTTTAACTTATCTCGACCAAAAAACTTAAATATTTTAAAGTATTATTACTAAGTAATATGTTTATATTACGATATATTATATATTATCGATTATAAAAATGTTTGTTGAATTATACAGGTTTTTTAATTGGTGCCTTATGCAAAGATTTCACATTCGCTGCATATCTAGGCGCTGGCAGTAACATAATGATGTCTTTCACTTGCGGTAATGTTTCTTAATAATTATCTATAGTTTAATAAATAAATACTGATATTTTATAGTGGAAAAAAACAAAATTCTATTAACCTAATATGCGAATTCGGGATTATTTACTTAATAAATAATTATACTATTTTAGAATAATTAAATTAAAAAATATTAATCTATTGATATTTTTTCGAAAACAGGATTGATTTGGCCTTTGGAAGGTGCACATTATCTACTGAAATCAACTGGTCCACTGCTTCCAATGACTGCACCGGTCAAGGCTTTGCTGGCCGTAACCGCTAAAGGCTGGTCCTTTGATTCTGAGCCCGTATACATGGGACTGTTGTCCATATTCGGCTGGTCAACTATTATGATTATAACAATATTTATCATTAGCAAATTAAACAAAGATCTATGGATTTTGAGAAAATAATATAAGAATATGAATTGATTGTATTGTACATATATACTTCACTGAGTATATTTTTTGTCATATTTGTATATAAACAGACGATGGTTAATTTATTTAACACCGACGTTTTATTTACGGTAGACCTGAATGCAAAATTAATTATTAATTTTTTTAATTTTGAAAACAAAGCAAGTTTATTAATTTAGATTATTGAATACATTCTACCAAATGTACATTATGTAAAACTATTTAGTATTGTATACTCGTGGCAAATATTATAAATATTTGGATCGATACTCTTAATCATTGTAATTACCAATGACATTGCGTGTAAATGACAATTTAAAGTAAAAATATATATATATATATATATATATATATATATATATATAAATGTTAAATATTAAAAATACTTAAACGAATTACTTTTATAAATATTAATATTATTGTTATAATTTATTGTATTTATTTATTTTATAAAATATAGAAGTGTACAATTTTATTATTCTATAATGATATTGAAATCATTTTTATTGTGTTTTTTTTTTTTACTTATCAAATATTTATTTGTGTTTGTAATTATTGTAACTAGAAGAGAAGTTAATTATGTACCTATTTACATAAGTGTCTACAGAAGTACTTGAATTATATTATAATTAAATACTATTAACATTTTGACTCAATTGTAATATTCAATGTCCTATAAATCATAATCTTATAGCGTTTACGTCATCTATGGCTTAATCTATAAAAAGAGCACTTCTAACTTTTCCATTGGTTGTATTGGTTTCTAAACTTTAAAAGTATTTATTTACTATATTAGACGTTTCCTACAGTTTCTTAAATAAATAATTTTAAAGATTTTGACACTTTTTAAAAACTTTTCAACTTATAATATGGAGTCTATGAAAAAAAAAAAAAAAAAAAATGTTTTTTTTTGACATTATATCATTGGATAATGATTTGATTTCCATCATAAATAAAATACAGTTTATATTTATGGTAAAAGTAAGTATGACATTTTTTGAATATAAATCTTTTAATTTATTTGATTAATGCATAAATTTATACACATAAATTTGATAATGGTTTTACTAAATAATTTTCAAAATAATGATTATTATTGTTTTGTTAAAACCCTGAGTATAAAAAAACACTGTGTAATTTATAAAAATAAAATTATCAAAGTGTTTTTAAAAAACTCCTATTAAATTCTTTTTAATTTAATTTAAATATTTATAAATTTATAACTATTTTTTTTTTTTTTTATGTCAAAACGCATAATATTTAAAAAAAAAATAAGTAAAAATACTGTGAAACATTTTTAGATTCATAACGATTTGTAAAATTGTTGATAAATATTGTTAATTAATGTAAAGAGTTAAGTCTTTTATATTTTTCGTTTCCTAAGTAAAGTTTTTAAACTTATTATTTATATCGTAAAATCTGTGCTAATTCATTACTCATATCGTATTTATTTACAAAATCGTATGATGGTTTAATAATACATTTTTTGATTAAAAAATAATATAATGGCCGTATTTTATATGATATATTATAAATATATTTAGAATAAAGAAAATATATTTATTTTTTTTTATATATAAAAATAATATGTAATAATAAAAGCTTACCATTAAAATAATGCTATATTTTTATTTATTTTATTAAAATAAATTATTCAATTATTCATGCATTATTAATTAAAAAATATTAAATTTAGATAGGTACTTGAGTAAGTTAAATATTTTAGGAAGGCTTTTAGTATTGTGGTTTCTAGTTCAATTTTAAAGTGTACACATTCACTACCAGTAAATCCGGCTCTGGTAAAATAAAATTACTGTTTAAAACTTATAAATATTTGAAATGATTTTAACTATTGTCGGTTCTAGAGGTTTGTTTTTTAAATAGCTGTATATGTTATAGTTATTTATTATTGTTATTATTTTGTTTGAAAATTTAATAGTATTATGGTTTAAAAATTATTGTATATGATTATGTCCAAGAATCTTTAAATTTCCTAGTAGCAATCGTGTGATTTTAACAATTTAAAATAAAATAAAAATACATATATCGATACTTTATATTTGCATGTAACCACATGGGACACAACTCATGTGTTAAGGATACGATTGGGGTTGCGCTACAAGTCTGAGTAGATTAATATGAAAAGTTTCAAAAGCTATAAGATTATTAGGTTTTGCATATAGAACCAAAAAGAAACTTGCTCATCCATTTTTTTTTCTAACCACGGAAAAATACATGATCGAGATTCTGAAACCTACTACAGAAATACAAAACAATTCTTCTTCAGCTGTTCGAGTATATCAACTAGGTTCTATATCTAGATACGCTCTGGCATTAAGCATGTGATTTGGGTTTAATCTAATATGTCTCCATGTCACACAAGATTCGTAATAAGCGCACGTCGTAGTTCCACTGTTGTCATTATAGGGACATTTTTTGACACGTTGAGTGCACTTGAAAATTACTGTTTTTATAGTGTAACAAAAAATAATAAACATTTAAAGCCCAATAATATATAAAAAAAAAAAAAAAAAAAATTGAAATAAATATCTCTGACCTATCTTATTGTGTGATCTATAGCGACAGTCGTTAAGTGGACAATGAGAGCGAACATATTATACGTGCACACCGGTGAAACAAATCCAGAAGTATTTTACGGGAAAACAGAAATATAAAGAAAATACGCTGTGAGCCAAAAATAAAGTTTCGCTACTAAAAATGAGCTTAACACTTATAGTCCACGATGAGATGAGACTTTCATTTGTATCTTACGGAAATCGGCGATTCAATCCGTGATAAGTAAATAAAAGGTTTTTGGGAAAAAGGAAAGAAAGAAAAGAGGAGTAAGAGAGAGAGAGAGAGAGAGAGAGAGAGATAAACTAAAATAAAGATCTCTGTGGAAAAACAAACAGCATTAGAACCATGTGTGATGGTGCAGGTGGTAGAGGGGAAAAAAGCAAAAGTCAGTTGCCATTGTGTGCGGTGGCGTTTTCGTTTATCATCGTTTGGGCGGAAGATAATATTCTCTTTCAAACTTCCCGTTTCTCTCTCACTCATTCTCTACGATCTCTGTCTTTCTCACTGTTCGTGTTCCCTTTTTCGGACTCGGTCTTACCCTTTTCCATATTACACACCTCCACCACCATTATTTTCGTTGCGGTTTGTTGGAAAAGTCAATATTTTATATATTTCATCGAAGAAAAGGAATTGCCGTAACAGCATCCGTATAATTCTCTCTCTCTCTCTCTCTCTCTCTCTCATTTGTTTCCCATACCACCGATCACTGCACCCACGTAACGCTCGTACACACTATAACATATACCTATACTAACCCGCACGTTTACCGCGTCTCGCTGCAGTAACATACTGTACCCGGCGCACAATATATACACATATCATACACCCCAGAAACGTGTGTTAGTTGTGTAGAGCATGGGGATTGAGGGTGAATTACGATGAAAATTATATACAACCCAACCGCAAAATATAACCTTCAGTCGACCGAACAATGCGTATATAAGTATACGCAGATGTGCACACACGCGAAAAAACTTATATATTACAATATATTCTGTGTATATACGCGTGCATCGTAGAAATATTCTGAATTGTGACAAAATTATCGCTATAAATAGGGAAAAAAATCGGGCTTATACGTAATCCATCTACTCCATCAAGGTCCGTCGAACGATTAGGTATATAATATTTATAATATAATATTCCCAATACTATCATAATGGGGCCCGCAGGTGGATGAAATATATGTTTTTACTAAACCACCACCACCACCACCGTCGGGAAATAAAACCAACTTAATATTGTTTATTATCAACAACACTATTTGTGGGTTTCACTATCAGTACACAATTTTCTGCAACGCATTAGTTGAAATCGTTTTTTTTATTTTTCTGAAATGCTGGTCAATTGATTAGCTGATATACTTATTGTTAACGGCAAATAGTATTTCTTTTTTTTAACCATGTTATACAATGCCACGAGTTTGTGATTAAAGTGGTTTGAAATTTTAAAACGATGAAATTATAATAGGAAATATATCACTTAAATATGTTATTTATTATATATTATATTAAAAGTTATATTAAAACAATATTTTAGAGTATTTTTATTTTTTTTTTTTGTTTTGAAATGAAAACTATGTAGGTAGGTAATCGCTGAAAAAGATAGATAATCGAATTTAATATAATAAAATTGTTTGTATATAATACACATATTACGTAAAGTGAAACATTTGTAAAGACTGTATAGAATATCCATTAGTTAATAGAGATATTTCAAAAGAAAAATTAGATAACACATTTTAAAAAGATTAAAACTAAAATACTAAATGACTTACCTATTAGTATTTATTAGTAAACTTTAATCCAAATAATTTATGATAAATGATTTTTTTTTTAATTATTATTCAATATGATTAATACTATATTCTTAGTTTGTAATTATTATTCACGTATAATTGTTTCTATGTTACATTAGTTAATTATTTTATATTATTAGATAGATATTATTATATAAAGTAATTAAGTCAAAAATAATACTGTTACCCGTGATTAAAAATAATAAAATATTTATTACTTTACCTTGCGCAATTATTTCTTACCATTTATGTAATAAATGTAATATTATTTTATTTAAAACTATTTGTTTTTTATTGTTTTAATTATAGAATTAAATGTATAAAAAAGAGTTTTAATATTTTATTTTTAGGTATTTTATAATCATTAGAATTAAATATTTCATGCTGCTGTATTCACACGTAAATAGTAATTGAAAAAAAAAATATAAAAATAATTTATTGTATAATATTATATTTTAATAAATTTTTAGTAATATTGAATTGGATATCAAAATATCTTCGCTCTTCGAGCAATAAAATGTAACGGATTCTATAGCATTGATTTAAATTTAACAAAGAAAAAGTTCACTTTTGTTAAAAATTTTGAGATACCATTTTATTTGAAAATTCATTAAAGTAATTAGTTGATAAGTCTTTTTTTTCAATTAATTATTGTTATTTCATTAGAATAAAATAAATTATCAATAAATTTATAAATTTATTTGAGACTAATAGCTGTACCGAATATTAATTGAAATGACTAGTTTTATAATCATAATATTATTTATTTAGCATGGGAAATATGAATATTAGAGCATCAAGCCTAGTATTAT